TTTTTTTGATCCGAAAGCTATAAGAGATCACATATGAGTAAATTATGATCCCTTAACTTCGAAAATGAGTGTTTTTCTCATCCTTTGATTAGAAAGTATGTTGGCAAAAAACGCTTTGGACATGGCGCGGGTAAGGTGTTTCAAACCCTAATTTTTTTGTAGCACGAGTAGAAGGACTCTGTGACCTCCCGTGACCGCAGGGAGGCTCTGAACGGATATTGAGGGATGTCTAAACACCATAATGAACATCAACCATGTTTGATTTCCTGGGTGATTTCGTCTAACGATGGATTCTCTCGGGTAAGGCCGAATCATCGCAGACTCTAGTTTTGTCTTCTGAACACGCACCAGGAGGTATTGGAAGGGTGTCTTAAGCTATGAGATGCTATGAATGAATGGTGAATCATCCCGAGCCAGACAAGTAGACACCTTACATGTGTGACATAAAAAATTGACGCCAACAATGGCTCCTGTGTGCGATGAAGCTAGCTAGAATAATATTTCTATGCAGTAGCATTGAGCTTCTCTCTTATTAACATCCAAAAGTGAGGTCTCTTTGTCCGTTGAATCCAAATACCAATTTATGTAGATTCAATCCGAAGAAGAGCCTCTTCTCGGATGTGAAAAGAATTTACTTCTCCTCGTAAAGAGAATTTGAGATCTCTCCTTTCATGGGGTAAGTTCTTTCGATGTCTTGGTGTCACTAAATGAGTTTCACATATGACAATAAATCACTTATATATTAGCTCATAGCAGGATCACCTCACTCATTTTTCTTTCATTCAATCCTTCTAACGACGAAGAAAAAAGAATGAAGGAGGAGGAGGAGAGCTCAACCTTGAGTTGTAGTTGAAGCACACACTTATGGTGTTGATCTTTTTCCATTTCGAAGTGTTGGAAAGCTAATATATTCTCAAAGAAGAGATGATAAGAGTTTATACTTTTACGGTTTACTCGTTTGTTATGATAAGGTATTCATTGGCTCGTGCCATTTAATGCAAATGAAATGAATGACAACAATAGAAGACTTGGATAGCAACGAAGCATAGGCCAAATGAGTCCATAAAAAATTAGCCATAACTAATAGAAAAATGGGCAAGTCAACATGCCAATGAATACCTTATTGGACAAAGGGGGGTCATCTCCTCTACTGTGGGTAGATCTATAATAATAAGATTGTGCTATATGAATCTTATGTAATTTATAAATTAATTTTCGAATTCAATTTGAAGCTCACTCAGCCGCATTGATTGGTTTTAATTTCTGTCTTATGTAATTAGCCAAAGATGAGTTGGTGGAGTTGGGGGGGTTGGTGGAGACGAAGACTTTTCAGCGAATGGTGGGGCCGTGGGTTTGGTGGGTGCGGTATGGCAACTCATGTGGGCGTCATTTAAAAAATGGGAAGATACTTGAATAAATCATGAAAGATTTACTTATATGGCCCTCAATTTTCATGTATTTACATATAAAGTGCCTCGTATACTGACTTGTTGGTTGGCATCCACGGTATAAGATCTCTCAGGTCGAAGGTTCGAATCCTCTCTAACACGAAAAATTATTACATACGGAGAGCGTACGCAGAGCTATGTACACTCTCCGATCACAGCCATCCATCAACTCATACAAA